AAGTCCATGCTCAATAATCCAGGTATACATTCCAGTTTCTTTGTTTGTGCTGAAACTGTCCACATGACCTGACTGAAAAATGTTGGGTTCATTGATTTAATTCATTATTTATTTTTATGATATAAAAATCAAACCAGGCAGCACGGTGGCACATCTGGTAGAGCTGCTGCCTCTCAGCGAGCAGGTCCCTGGTTCAAATCCCGGCCTGAGACCTTTCTGGGTGCAGTTTGCATGTTCTCTCCGTGCATGCGTGGGTTTTCTCCAGTTTCCTCCCACAGACCAAAAACATGCATGTTAGGCTGATTGGTAACTCTAAATTGTCTCTAGGTGAGAGAGAGAGTGGTTGTTTGTCTCGTTTGTCTCTGTGTGTCCCTGTGATGGACTGGAGACCTGTCCAGGGTGTACCCGCCCCCACACACACAGTGACAGATGGAAATGGGCACCAGTGACCCTAAAAGGAAGAAGCAGGTAAAGATGATGTATGGATGGAGTCTTAAGCTCCAGACTTGAATTACTGACCCAAACAATAAAAATATTCTTAAACTCGGTCAGTATACATCAGAAGTTCAGTTCAAAAATTATTTATTTATCCCAAAGAGAAATTAAATACAAGTCATTCTCCTGGTTCCAGTTGATCAGATGTTGATCAGATGTTGATCAGATGTTGATCAGATGTTGATCAGATTAAAGCACAGAGTTTATTTGATGATGACAAATTCATGACTGTACTTAGCTTACATTAAAATGGTCTGTTTTACTTCGTTACTGTTCTATAATTAATAATTATTATATCGGTTCAGGCTGGGATTAACAGAGACAGTTCTTTTTTTAATCTGTTAGCTGTGAATGTTCTGTTCAGCAGGAAGCCTGGTTCTGCTCCAAGTACAACACAACGTTGTTTAGAGGAGACCTCTCAGCTGCACTGGACATGCTACAGCTAGCTGCTGCTGCTGTTTGCACTTCCTGAGAATTCGACGTAAAAATAAATAAAAACTTAATTGTGAAACTAAATCGATGCAATTTTCACATGAAGAGATACATTTTAATGTAAGATGGCGGCAGCTGCCGAGCTGTTTGCTCTTCAGTCCCGTCGTTTCTTTACTTTGAGGTTGTTTTCAAACCTGTAGAGAACTCCTTCTCTGAGCACCGTTTTAAAATGACTGAACTACTTCTTTAAGGTTAATGAAAATTCACAACACGTACAGAGGAAAATAATATTTGAACACCCTGCGACTTTGGAAGTTCTCCCACTTAGAAATGATGGAGGGTCTGAAATTTTCATCTTAGCTGCATGTCCACTGTGAGAGACATAATCTAAAAAATAAATCCAGAAATCACAATGTAAGATTTTTTTATTTGTGTGTTACTGCTGCAAATAAGTATTTGAACACCTGCCAATCAGCAACAGTTCTGGCCCTCAAAGACCCGTTAGTCCTCCTCCACTTATTGTTCTAAACTAGAAGCAGCTGTTTGAGGTCGTTAGCTGCATAAAGACGCCTGTCCACCCCACACAGTCAGTAAGACTCTGAGGGAAGGAGGTTGTTCCACAACATCTCTCACTACATGGCCCCGGTCATCCTCTCCTTAATACAGTGCAGTCGTCCTGTCCCATGTGCAGAAAAACACCCCCAAAGCATGATGCTTCTACCCCCATGCTTCACAGTAGGGATGGCGTTTTTGGGATGGTACTCATCGTTCTTCGTCCTCCAAACACAGCGAGTGGAATTAAGACCAAAAAGTTCTAGTTTGGTCTCATCTGACCACAGAACTTTCTCCCATGACTCCTCTGGATCATTCAAATGTTCATGGTCAAACTTAAGACGGGCCTGGATGTGTTCTGATTTAAGCAGGGGAACCTTCCATGCCATGCATGATTTTAAACTATGACGTCTTAGTGTATTACCCACAGTAACCATGGAAACAGGGGTGCCAGCTCTCTTCAGGTCATGGACCAGCTCCTCCGTGTAGTTCTGGGCTGATTCCTCACCTTTCTTAGGATCATTGATACTCCACGAGGTGAGATCTTGCATGGAGCCCCAGTCCGAGGGAGATTGACAGTCATGTTTAGCTTCTTCCATTTTCTAATAATTGATCCAACAGTTGATCTTTTGTCACCAAGCTGCTTGGCAATTGCCCCGTAGTCCTTTCCAGCCTTGTGGAGGTCTACAATTTTGTCTCTGGTGTCCTTGGACAGCTCTTTGGTCTTAGCCATGTTAGTAGTTAGAGCATTGAAAATGGGTCGTGGCTGGGTCTTCCAACATGACAATGACCCGACGCACACAGCCAGGAGAACCAAGGAGTGGCTCCGTAAGAAGCAGATCAAGGTTCTGGAGTGGCCCAGCCAGTCTCCAGACCTACACCCTATAGAAAATCTTTGGAGGGAGATCACACTCAGTGTTTCTCAGTGACAGCCCAGAAACCTGGCTGATCTAGAGAAGATCAGTGGAGGAATGGGCCAAATCTCTGCTGCAGTGAACCTGGTGAAGAACTACAGGAAACATTTGACCTCTGTTACTGCAAACAAAGGCTATTGTACCAAATATTAACATTGATGTTCACAGGTGTTCAAATACTTCTTTTCCTCACTGTCTGTCTGTAAAACAAGCCCAACTGAAGCCAGTTGTTGTTCACGTCACACTTTGTGGGGTTTTTTTTTTTGGGTTCAAATGGTCCAACCACTGCACCACTGTCCCTTTAATCACTGTCCATGTTCGTTTGTCCTCAGAGGGAACACACCTGAAACCAGAGGGACGGCTTACGTCGTGTACGAAGACATCTTCGACGCTAAGAACGCCTGCGACCACCTGTCAGGCTTCAACGTTTGCAACCGTTACCTCGTGGTTCTCTACTACAACGCAAACCGAGTACGTAGGAGCGGAGCGAGCCGACGAGTCCTGCTCGCGTTCACACAAATGATCCTTTGAACACGTGTCAGAAGCTTCAGGGCGTCCAGTGAACTTCATCGTTCAGAGTTTTTACCAGCCTTTCTTTTTATGCAGGCCTTCCAGAAGATGGACACAAAGAAGAAAGAGGAGCAGCTGAAGCTTTTAAAAGAGAAATATGGCATCAACACGGACCCCCCCAAGTAGAGACGTCCCCACCTGTCTTCTGTCTGCAGACATCGTCTTCACCGGTTCATGCTTCTAATGTAACCCTTCTTACAGCATCGGCTGGTAATATCAGAGCAGCTGGTTTTAGATTTCTGTTGGGATTTGAAGCTTCAGGGTTTGATTCTGCCGCTTCCTTTGAGCAACATGGTTTGATTTGTTCCCTTTTTACTCGTGCTGAGATATAAATACGCTCTGCTCATGTAAAGGTTATGGTTTCTGTAAAATAAAAGCTGTTTTCTAAAAGCTCAAGTCTCCTGCTGCCAACAAGCTTTTAACGTATTGAAAGGAAAACATTTCCCTCTGTGTGACGGGCAAGAGACTGAGGGGTCAAAGGTCACGCAGACCTGCAGTCCCTGAGGTTAGTCCCAGTAAATGTCCTGTCAGTGTCTTTCAGCAGGAGTTCATTCTACAGAGGCTTTAAAACCACACATTATGGTGCTAAATGATCATTTAACATTAAAAATAAATAAACTGCATAAAGACAAGTGCTTTGAGCTGTGGATCAGCAAAAGAGTGAAACACGGTGGTGGCAGCATCATGCTGTGGGTCTAAATCCTTCAGACAGAACCCTGACGTCACAGAGGACACCTCACCTGACTCACGTCCAAATGAATGATGGCACCAGAAGAAAAACGTTTAGACTCGGGAGAAATGGATTGCACAGATTTGTTGTCTTGGATGGACGACGGTGAATTTTCTCAACAAAGTGTTTCAGGAAGTCGCTCATCCAGCTGCTGATCACGTTGTTTTTTAAATCAGTTCAACAGGATGAGTGTCGGAGGACGTGGGGAACGTTTTGAAATGATTTATCACGGGGCCAGGTTTTTAAAATTATTCAAACATTTTTATGATTCAAACGTAAAAACACCCAGAGCTGGATGGAAACAAACCTCTGGAGAGTTCTGGATGAGGGTCTGAATCCAGATGTGGAGAGGTCAAAGCTGCCGTTGGAGGAGGATGCAACTTCAAATGTGAGACCTGGAGCAGTTTATAAAGAATAGTGGTCCAAAATGACACGTGTCTTGTTGAAGATTAGAAGAAGTGATGACTGTAGTTACTTTTTCCAAATATTAAGTATTTATTATTTTATCTGGTCTATTTTTGGAGCATTGTGTGAAATTATATACATATTTCCTTTTTTTTCCTGTTTGGTTTTCTCCACCAAATATTTACTAATGTCACGTTCCATGTATGAAGACAGTGTTCATGAGTGAGGGAACAATGGAGCGTGACATTAACAGACAGATTGGTGCAGTGTCTGCAGTATTGTGGACTCTGTGCCGGTCCATTGTGGTGAAGAGAGAGCTGAGCTGCAAGGCAAAGCTCTCCGTTTACTGGTCAGTCTCTGTTCCTACCCTCTCCTCTGGTCATGAGCTCTGGGTAGTGACAGAAAGAATGAGATCGTGGATACAGGAGTTGAAATGAGTTTCCTCTGCAGGGGAGCTGGACTGTCCCTTTAGAGACGGGGTGAGGAGTTCAGTTATCAGGAGAGACTCAGAGTAGAACGACTGCTCCTCCACATCGAGAGGAGCCAGTTGAGGTGGTTCAAGCATCTGGTAAGGATGCTTCCTTCGGCATGTACGACTGGGAGGAGACCCCATGGAAGAGCCAGGACACACTGGAGAGACTCTGTTGACCTGGGAACAACTTGAGTCCTCCCAGAAGAGCTGGAAGAGGCTGTGGAGAGATGTGTCTCATGTCTGACCTCCCTACTCAAGATGCTGCCCCTGAGATCTGGCTTCAGAATAAGCAGAACATAAAGGATGAATGGATATTTACAAAGGAAATATATGTGTATAAATAAACTTTTTTCATCCAACTTTTATTTTTACAGGTTAGTCTCATTGAGCCACGAGGAATCGTTTACAAGAGAGACCTGTTCCAGACAGAACATATAAAGTACAGACAACATGACCTGTACACATTAATAGTAGAGCCTTTCTATTTTATTTCAAGACACTCAAAGCTCTTCACAGCAATCTGTGCCTCATTTACACATTCATACAGCTCTATACTAGATCTCTACAAAGAATAATCAGAGCTTTAGATCACATTCATACACTGATGAGACACACATCAGAGGCAGTGAGGGGTTCAGTGTCTTGCCCAGGGACACTTCAACATGTGACTGCTGGTGGAATCGAACCCCCAACTCTTGCATTGGAGGACGACTGCTCTAACCACTCACTCAACAACAATACACAATAACAATAAACAACAATAACAATAAATAACAATAAACTACAAACTACGATAGAATGTAATTAAAATGAAAAGTAGTGTTATAAAACAAGGTAAAATACTAAAAACAAGAACACATCTGCCTTAATTTTTCCATTGACATGATCAAATGTTTAACCCCCTGAATGAATGAAGGTGGACAGCTTCAGATCTTGTTGCAAGCTGTTCCAGTTACAGGAGCAGAGCAGGAAAAGGCCTTTTGCCGAGTTCAGTCCACACTGAGGGGACGCTGCAGGTAATGATGTCCTGAGTGCGCATGTTGTAACTGCACTGACGACGTGACATGTAGGAGGAGATATAAGAAGGTAGCAGACCAAGGAGGGATTTATAGATGAAGATGAACCAGTGAGAGCCTACATGTAGATAATGATGACCAACTGACCAAGGAGTGCAGAGTGCAGTGATGGGTCCGGTAGTTACAACCAGTTATGAATGTTAGACAGCATCCAACATCTGCAAGCAGCTGGCAGGAGCATTCGTGTAAATAATGTCACCATAGTCAATGGAGGGGAGGGGAGTAGTGGTTACAAGACATTTTCTGGCATTCAGAGTTAAACAAGATCTATTTCTGAAAAAGAAAGTCAGTTTCTTTATCAAGTTTTTAACATGTGGCTTAAAAGAGAGATGTGCATCAACCAAAATTCCCAAGTACATTTATATAAGAATCTACAAACTCAATAAGAACACCATGCATGGATGAGATAGAAGGAAGAACTGCTGGCACCGACTTTCTGTTGGAAAACAACATCCCCTTGGTTTTATCAGCATTTAGCACCAGCTTGAGATGGAATAAATCAGACTGGATGATGTCAAATGCAGACTGTAGAAGCTGGAAAACCATGGCAACTGTGTTAGCTCGACAATAAACAACAGTGTTGTCAGTGTAGAGATGTAAGGACAGTGGTGGAGAAAGTACTCAAACAATGTTCTTAAGTAAAAGTACAAATAAACAGACAAAAATGTACTCTAGTAAAAGTAGAAGTACCACATTAACATTTTAACTTAAGTAAAAGTAAATAAGTACTTACTTTTGAAATACTTAAAGTATTAAAAGTAAAAGTACTTGCTGAATGTATTACCTAATGTAATGGTCTACCTATCTTTAAGTCTGCGTACCGTATGTATATTTTGTGTAATACATTAATAGTGTTGTTCCATTTTAATGAAAGATGCTGCAGATAATACATGTTTTTATTGTGTTTACTCTGTGACACAGTTCACACTTGGACTTGTGATTCTGTGCAGCAGAATTTCAGGGATGACCTGCAGAGTTAAATGATATTAATCAAAATAAGAAAGAGGAATGATTATACCTTTGAACGTTTTTATTTAACACAGAGAAAAAACCAATGTGTCATTTTAACTGCAGTAAACACATTGAAGTAAAAGTCAAAAGTACCCATGTTTAACTCTACTTAAGTAAAGTACAGATACATGAAAAATGTACTTAAGTACAGTAACAAAGTATTTGTACTTAGTTACATCCCACCACTGTATAAGGATGAGTCAGGAATGTTTTGATCTACATTATTTATATAAATTGTAAAAAGAGTGGGACCTAAAACTGAACCATGTGGCACACCATTGGTGACCGTTAGGTAGCTAGATGAAGTATTGTTATGTTGAACATAACGATAGTTTGAGAACCAGTCAACTATGTGATCTGCATCTGAGAGCTTGTGGTATAAGATGATCCACTAATGGTGGACTCGAGTCACATGACTTGGACTTGACTCATAAAAATGTTCAGAGACTTACAGTATGACTTGAGTTGGACTTTGACCTGAAAATACTTGATATTTTACCCATAATGTAAAGTTTAAAAACTGCAGTGAAGTTAGTTCTAGGTTGGATATTTGAGCTCCATGGATTGAGCGGTGTCTTCATCTTGTTGGACCTGACGCAGGCAGCCTGGTTTCAGTCAGCTGTGCTCAGTCTGCCTCCTCCTCTGAGCTGCAATTGTTCACTTAGGGACCATCAGTAAATTACAGAACCAAACATTCTTGAGAAAAAACATTAATAGCTTTCATGTCACATGACACACTGACACAAAACAGTCCAGCACTACAGCTCAGTCACACCCTGGATACTGGACAATGAACATGCAGACCTTCACTGTTTCATGAGGCCATGCAGTGCCTGCATGTAGCGCTGCAGTGGAGCCAGTTTCCAGCTGTGGGACATCATTCTACAGCCTCATCGTGCACAAATGACAGACTTTTGTCCTGTTTGGTCTTTTGCAAGTGCAGAATAGTGAACTAATTGAAGTGCACATTCTTGTTTATTGTTCAGTTCATGTATTTGTTTTGTTTCTCTCTGTCACTCACACATGGACACAAACAAACATCTGCTCACTAAGTGACCAGATGAGAGAGGAGAGGACATACATTCACTGTGATGGTTCTTTGTAATGTGTTGGGCAAATGTCATCAACTTTGAACATGAAGTTCTGTTTTTCCCTTGTTCACTGAATGTTCATTCTGTTCTAGTTTAAAGGAACTATTCTTGCAGTGTTACAGCGAGAGCTGATGGGGCCTGAGCTCCTGCAGCCAGCTGCTGCTAGCTGTGGCCTCAGGCCCCATCAGACTCCAGGTCTGACTCCAGCTCACGCTGTCCCCCGGCTCGGACCTCCCTCATGAGCAGCAACTCACACCATCAATAAATCAAGGAAACTTGAATTAAATTTGACCAGTTGTATTAAATCAAGGCAGGAGAAGGTTACAGGTTACAGCGCTGGGCGGTCCGGTACACGACGTGAGACCAGGAACCAGAAGGGGCTCTGTCCCATGGCATTACAGATTTATAGGGCCTAGACTCCTCCTTCACAGAAGGAGAGCACAGTCTATCACGTGGGTAAGGGGGAGGGACTAAGTGTGGTCTCACTGGATCTTATATGGTTTTGATGTGTCAGGAAAAATGATATTGGTGCATAAAAAACCTTTCTGCATGATGCAGCGAGCCACATAAATAAACTCTATTCCTTAATGGATACTGAATCCCTG